ACAATCCTGTGTAATGTGAAATTCTTTCAGATTTCATTAAAATGTTAAAACAAATTGGCATTTAAAATTATAAATAAAATTGTAGACGAACAGTTCCTAGACCTTAACTCAGGCTATAACTCAGCAGGAGAGTTTTTAAAAGGTAGGGAAAAATCATTAAATTGCAAGGACCATTCAGGAAATGACTAAGAAGTGGTCTATATAGGAAAGAACACCCTCTGGGCTCTGACCACATAGACATTCAAACAAGAAGCTGGCTCCTTCTCTGCAGTTTCACTTTTCACAGTTTCAGTTACCTTCTGCCAACATGGTCCCAGAGCAGATGATCCTCCCCTGATGTAGTGTCAGAAGGCCAATATAGTCTAATGCTATGTCACATGCCTGGGTCATTCACCGCCCCCCCCACTTCGTCTCATCATGTGGGCATTTTATCATCTCATGTCATCACAAGGAGGGTGAATACAGTAAGATATGTTGAGAGAGAGAGAGAGGAGAGAGAGAGAGACACCAGAGTCACAGGACTTGTTACAGCATATCATTATAATTTTTGTATTTTATTATTTGTTGTTGTTCATTTCTTACTGTGCCTAATTTATAAATTGAACTTTATCACAGGTATGTATAGGAAAAAATGTAGTATATATAGGGTTCTGTACTATCTGCAATCTCAGGCATCTGCTGGGGTCTTGGAACACATCCCCCAGGGCTAAGGGCAGACAATTGTGTAAGGCATGTATCCATACAAGCAACTAGGAACAACGACAAGAGTGTGTACCTACTACAAATATAATATCTGACAGTAAATGCTTTATTTATTTATTTATTATTTATTTATTTATTTATTTATTTGAAGAATGGGAGTAGAGGGGGCAGCAGGAGAGGGAAAGAGAACCGTAAGCAGGCCCCACACCCAGCACAGAGCTCAACATGAGGTTCAAACTTACTACCCTGGGATCATGACCTGAGCTGAAGTCAAGAGTCAGATACTTAACCAGCTGGGCCACCCAGGTGCCCCTGTCTTCATTTATTTTAAATTAGTTTTGGCAATCCTAAAATTTGTATGGAACCACAAAAGACCCTGAATAGCCAAAGCAATTTTGAAAAAGAAAAATAAAGCTGGAGGCACCATGATTCCAGACTTCAACCTCTAGTACAGAGCTGTAGTGATCAAAATTGTATCATACTGGTACAGAAACACATAGATCGATGGAACAGAATAGAAACCCAGAAATAAACCTACAATTATATGGCCAATTAATCTTCAACAAAGCAGGAAAGAATATCCAATGGGATAAAGACAGTCTGTTCAACAAATGGTGCTGCAAAAAAGTGGACAGCCACATGCAAAACAGTCAAACTGGACCACTTTCTTACACTATGCACAAAAATAAATTCAAAATGGATTAAAGACCTAAAGCCTAAAAATCCTTGAAGAGAACTCAGGTAGTAATTTTTCTGACATTGACCATAGCAACTTTTTCTAGATATGTCTCCTGAGGAAACAAAAGCAAAGATAAACTATTAGGATTACATCAAAATAAAAGGCTTCTGCACAGTGAAGGAAACAATCAACAAACTAAAAGGCAACCTATGAAATGGGAGAAGATATTTGCCAATGATACATCTGATTATAGGTTAATATCCAAAATATATAAAGAACTGATACAACTCAACACCCAAGAATCAAATAATCCAGTTAAGAAATGAGCAGAAGAAAGGAACAGACATTTGTCCATAGAAGACATTCAGATGGCCAACACACCTATGAAAAGATGCTCAATATCTCTCATCATAAGGGAAATGCAGATCAAAACCACAATAATATCACCTCATACCAGTCAGAATGGCTAAAATCAACAACACAGAAAACAAGTGTAGGGTAGGATGTGGAGAAAAAGGAACCCTCATGAAGTTAGTGGGAATGCAATCTAGTATGGCCTCTGTGGAAAACAGTATGGAGGTTCCTCAAAAAGTTAAAAATAGAACTACTCCATGGTCCAGTAATTGCACTACTGTGTATTTACCCCCCAATACAAAACTACTAACTCAAAGGGATACATGCACCCCTATGTTTGTTGCAGCATCTACAATAGCCAAGGTATGGAAGCAGCCCAGGTGTCCACTGATTGATGAATGGAGAAAGAAGATGTGGTATATACACAATGAAATATTACTCAGCCATCAAAAAGAACAAAAACTTACCATTTGCAATATCATGGATGGCTCTAGAGAGTATTGTGCTAAGTGAAATAAGTCAGAGAAAGACAAATACCATATGAGTTCACTCATATGTGGAATGTAAGAAACAAAACAAATGGACAGGGTCGGGGGACAGGAGAGAGAGGCAAGAAACAGACTTTTTTTTTTTTTTTTTTTGAGAGAGAGAGAAAGCGAGCACACTGAGAGAGAGTGAAAGGGAAAAGCAGACTCCATGTTGAGCAAAAGATCCGATGTGGGACTCAATTCCAGGACCCCAAGGTCACGACCTGAGCTGAAGGCAGACACTTAACCGTCTGAGCCACCCAGGCACCTCAAGAAGCAGACTCTTAACTATAAAGAACAAATTGATGGTTACCAGAGGGGATGGGATAAGTGGGTGATGGTGTTAAAGATGGCACTGTTTGTGATGACCAATGGGTATTGTATGGAAGTGGTGAGTCACTGAATTCTACACCTGATACTAATACTACACTGTATGTTAACTAACTGGATTAAAAAATAAGATGAGATTTGGGCTTATAGATTTCTATGTTTATAGCCAAATAGGGTAAGTAAGTAGAGTGAGGAATGAAGAAATTGCAGATAACATTTAGGAAACTAGCAGAAAGAGCTAAGGATTATTGAATTAATTAAAAAATAGTGATACAATTATAAAATGGCTATTTGTGCAACAAATTGAGTTTAGCACTAAATCAGTACTTTTAGGGAAGAATGATCTGAATTACAGTGTGTGGTTTTGTAAGCGTGTGTGTGCATGTGTGTTTGTGTGCATGTGTGTGCATCTTTGTGTACAGATATATAATTAATCAAGTGTCATGACTGCTTTATGTGAAAGTAGAGTAGCCTGTATTTTCAAAAATTATTATAAGATGACATATGCAAATGAAAAAATATTTATACACATGGGTAAAATGACAATCATCTGTAATTAAAATTTTGTATGGGAAAAAATCAATAATTTCTAATTAACTGCTAAACAAAGCAAAGCTTTTCTCATGTCCACCCCACAAGCAGAGATGGGAAGGGGAGCTTTAACTAGGACTCTGTCCCCTTTTCCTAAATATCCTTTGCTCCCCAATTCATGCCATAAGGTGCATGAATGACTCAGAGAATACAGTTTTCTTATACACATGTAGAATGTCAGATTCTGTCTCCATAGTCTCTGCCCAACCCCTGGCTGCCTCTACCTCTGTGACCAGCAGGATCTGCCCATCACTAGAGCCACCCCGCACCAGTATAAGCTGGAGTGGACCCCTCATGGCATCTCCACCCAGTGCTCAGGCTGGCCTTGCCATACAAAGGAATCTGCCATACAAAGGAATCTGTGGTTCAGTCTTCTTGTCTTCCAGATATATAGGATTTTAGGGTCATTTATTCATATGTTGCATTTAATGTTGTCCTACTCCTGAGGGCAGATAAATGCATTTTCTTAATTAAATCTAATATTTAATGATGTCACAATTAGCCAAAATCCAGATTTTCTTTTGCACACACTAATAACTACATTGCTTGGACCAACTGCCTGAGCAATGAGGAAAGGCACTGGGAAAATCTGGCTTCATTCTGTTTGAGAGTGGAGCCTAAATGCACTTAGTTTCTGGATCCCTACGCAGCTCTGGCACTTTCAAGTAGCCCCTCACCTAGGGCAGACAAGGATGGCGAGGTTCAAGGTGCACGGAGAGACAGCTCCTTGGCCTGTGAAGCTCAGATTGGGAGTCTGATAAAACCATAAATCAGCCTGTTCCTCCAGCACAGGACTGAGGTCACTTAGCTTCCCATGCTGAGGGACGTAATAATTAGGGGGAGAAAAGGGATCTCTTTATACAGTAAAGGGTAATTTTCTATCACTCATTATTCCAGATGAGAGTGCAGGCTAAAACAACAAATAAATGTAGGGAAGATCTAAATAAATGTGTAAGGGATACTTCCATAAATAATGATTACAGGAACATGCAACTGTTGAGTTTTAGCGATTTAAAGCTAACATGATGTGAGAACACCAGACTTTCCAATTACTAAATCTGAAGCCGTTACCATAAAGATGACCTCGAGCAACACACTAACATTTGTAATGATTGAACATTCTCAGTGCCTGCTGTGCACTAGGCCTTTGTCAGGACAACTCTAATTCTTCGGGCAGCTCTGCAGGGCAGAGATTATTACTGTCATATCACAGAGGAGGACACGGAGGCTTTGCCTGAGCCGCCAAGCTGCTGAGGGCAGGACTGGGGTGAGCGCGGGCGCAGCTGGCTCCCCTGACTCCACCACACCATGCCTGTCCTTTCCATATGGGGTATAGTGTGGGAAACTGTTAAGCCAAAGAAGTACACATAAAAGCTAAAAAATGGTTTAAAGAAATGGTAGAAACTGAGGTTATTTATTTCTGAAACTCTCACGTTTTGGTTACCTCATGGTGCCCAAGGAGACACTTTTTTTATAACTTGCAGTTCAAGGGGTATGAAAATCTTAAGCTTTATCCATTCCATTATCTGAAGAGATTATTTAAGGAAGTATCACGAAATGGCAAAACAAAAGTTTTGAACTTAACCTTCTAATTTTATGAAATTTATGATTTAACTACAAAAAAATCTCACAGTACTCTGCCGCCTGGTTGGAAAGCCAGTTTATGTTGAATGGGGTTTTTAGTAGCATCTCAAGCATTTGTAAAAAGCCTACAAATGAAGTGAGTCTCCAGGCTTCACTGCCTCTGCCAGCCTCCCTGACCCCAGTGAATCACTGGTGGGCACAGACTATCTGGAGAATCAAGGATCTTGACCTACCTTTTCTTCAAAGAATTTTCTCCTCAACTTGGCATCTGTGGGAGGTACTGTTCTCCTCAGGTCTTGGTACCACTTTCTGACCACATGTCCCCTCCAGCAGGCTTGGATCCTAGAACACAGATGTTTGAAATGACTAACTCAGGATGGCCTTAGCAGGTACTTCACAAGAGAGCAAGGCCCCGGGGGAGGCAGTGGCCAAGGAGGGAGGCAAAATCCCTCCTTCCTTTAAAATGAGCCATCACCCCTGGCAGGCAAGGGGGACCCTTGTCCTACCTTGTCGCACACTTTATTTTGAATAGCCGGGCTCCGTCATGAATCACTCTGGTTTGATACTGGTTCCTTCTACAGAGAGGGCAGGTTTTTTTATTTGTGAACTTTTCAAAAGCCTGGAGGCATGCCTGAAGAAAAACATTTCACTTAGAATTGTATAAGTAATTATTTATAAATAACACTTTCACTTCTAATGTAATTATAGTGTTCTTTTCTCTCAGAATTATGAGACAGTCCAATTTAGATTTTAAAGGGTAGAAGTTTCATCAGATGTTAACACCTTCCTCATGAAACTTGTTCCAAAAATGAAAATTTACAAGAATATACATGCAGATACATCAAAAACTTCTGAAAACCACTCGTGTCGAGGTAGATGATCCCAGCGTAGAAGGCTACCATGCAGTCAGTCATAGGAAGCAAGCTGTCACTCATTTTGATGCACATTACTCACAGCACTGTGTTATATAAACATTTGTGGTTCTTTTGTCACATAAAATTCATAATTTTCATAACAGGATGAATTGTACTATAGCCTAAAGTCATATTTCTAACTCTAAGTGATGATTATGGATAAAATAAGTGGTTCTTTTTAGGAGACTTTAAATGAGTAAGAGCTACGAGGGTGACACACTGCAACACTTTATGAGGGAGGGAGGCAGGATTCACTCACTCTGTGAAACACATGGGAACATGAAAGCAGCACCTGTGCATGAGAAGACAAAAAAATGTTTGAAGTTTAAATGAGTTTTGAAAAAGCAGCAGCATAAATGCATTTAATTAAAAAGAAAAATTCTGAGTGCTTAAAAGGTAGGCTTGTCTTGTTTCTTTGAAAAATGAAAAAATGCAGATTAATAACCTTGATATTTCTAATATTTAGTATTTGAGCACAGCACAGGTATATAATTCAACAAGAAAAGCTAAGTTAACAACAATCTGAACATCAAACACACCGTGTTTGCTAGGAAGCCATTAATGTTAGTGTATACTTACAACTTCTGATGTGGCTGCATCTCCTGGGTGGATCCAAGGAAGGATACAGGCTGGAGTGGGGGTGTGTGGGGACGGGGCAGGGCTTTGTTCAGCTGAGGGGCACTCCTGACTTGTTTAGCATCCAGCGTGTTAACTGTGACACACTTAAATTTAAAATGTCTCAGAAATAAGGAATCACCTTTTCTTCTTAAATGTAGGGGAAGTACACTCACAAGAAAATGTCACCTCTCTGGGACCCCGATTCCCTACCACATAGTGGGGATATTCTAAGGAGGAAGGGAGGTGCTTCTTCTGGAAGCAGAACCAGGGGATGACAGCAAGACACCAGCAGGAATGAGCTGCGCACGCACGGAGGGAGGTCGACGAGGGCTCCAAGCTCTCAGCCACCGGCTTATCTTCTCTGAAGTGTGTGGGACCAAGAGAAGAGAGGGCGGGAGAGACTCTGGGGATCACCCAAGTCTCGGACACGAGGGCCACCTGGTCTTGGTCATGCTCTCCCATTTTTAAAGTGACCGCCCCCCTCCCTGCCTTCACTCTACTCTTTTCTTTTTAAATAGGAAGAATGGAAGAAATATCGCAATAAATAGAACTTACAAAGTTGTAAAACCTTGACTTGAAACTTACTGCCCACAAGCCTAAACTGGAAAACTTCAGTAATATGGTCCTTTTTAATTTCACCATTTAATCTCATAGCAGCTTTTTGTATGCTCAGGTCCCCATTCTTTTTTTTTTTTTTAGAAATTTTTATTTAAATTCTAGTTATGAATATACAGTGTAATGTTAGTTTCAGGTGTACAGTACAGCAAGTCATCCCTTCCATATGTCACCCGGTGCTCAGCATGACAGGTGCCTCCTTCATCCCCATCCCCCTTACCTCGCTTCAGCAGCCCTCACTGGGTTCTCTGTCGTTAAGAGTCTCTTCATGGTTTGTTTCCCACTGTTTCTGCTCTGTGAACGGTGCTGGTGCTATTTGGTAGGGATCACATTAAATGTGCAGGTTGCTTTGGGTAGTGCGGACATTCACAGTGTTGGTTCTTCCAGTCCATGAGTATGCAATACTTTCCCATTTCTTTGTGCCCTCTTCAGTTCCCTTCATAAGCGTTCTGTAGTTTTCAGAGTACAGATCTTTTACTTTTTTTGGTTAGGTTTATTCCTAGGTATCTCATGGTTTTTGGTGTAATTGCAAACGGGATCAATTTCTTGATTTCTTTTTCTGCTGCCTGTTATTGGTGTATAGGAATGCAGCAGATTTCTGTGCGTTGATTTCATATCCCGTGACTTTGCCGATTCATGTTTTATTAATTCTAGCAATTTTTTGGTGGAGTCTTTAGGGTTTTCTACATAGAGTATCATGTCATCTGCAAATTATGAAAGTACGGCATCTTCCTTGCTGATTTGGATGCCTTTTAGTTCTTGTTCTTGTGGCCTGATTGCTGAGGCTAGAACTCTCGTACTATGTTAAATAGCAGTGGTGAGAGTGGACATCCTGTCTTGTTCCTGACCGTAGGGGAAAGCTCTCAGTTTTTTTCCCACTGAGCATGATATTAGCTGTGGGTTTTTTGTATACAGCCTTTGTGATGTTGGGGTATGTTCCTTCTGTCCCAACTTTGTTGAGGGTTTTTATCAAGAATTGATGGTGTAGTTTGTCAAATGCTTTTTCTGCATCTATTGACAAGATCATATGGTTCTTTCTTATCCTTTCTTATATTAATGTGGTCACACTGAATTATTTGTGTATATAGAACCAGCTCTGCAGCCCCGGAATAAATTCCAGTTGATTGTAGTGAAGAATCTTAATGTACCATTGGATCTGATTTGCTACTATCTTGTTGAGAATTTTTGCATCCATGTTCATCAGAGATATTGGCCTGTAATTCTTTTTATGAGAATAGTCTTTGATTGTGGAATCAAGGTAATGCTGGTGTCATAGAATGAGTTTGGAAGTTTTTCTCCCATTTCTATTTTTTTGGAACAGTTTGAAAAGAATAAGTATTAATTCTTTAAATATCTAACAGAGAAACCCTGGGAAGCCATCTGGCCCTGGACTTTGGTTTGTTGAGAGATTTTTGATTATTGCTTCAATTTCTTTGCTGGTTATGGATCTGTTCAAATTCTCTATTTCTTCCTATTTCAGTTTTGGTAGTTTGTAGGTTTCTAGGGCTTTGTTAATTTCTTTCAGATCACCCAGTTTGTTGGCATATAATTTTTCATAATATTCTGTTATGATTATTTATAATTTCTCTGTTGTTGGTTGTGATCTCTCCTCTTTATTATTTTGTTTATTTGGGACCTTTCTCTTTTTTATAAGTTTGGCAGGGGGATTTACCAATTTTATTAATTCTTTTGAAAACCAACTCTTAGTTTCGTTGATCTACTATTTTTGTTTCTAAATCATTTATTTCTGCTCTAATCTTTATTTAATTTTCCTTCTGCTGATTATAGGCTTTATTTGCTATTTCTTTTCTAGCTCCTTTAGGTGTAGAGTTAGATTGTGTATTTGAGATTTTTCTTTTTAACTTAAATTTTATTTAGTTAACATACAGTGCAATATTGGTTTCTGGAGTAGAATTCAGTGATTCATCACTTACAACACCAGTGCTCATCACAAGTGCCTCCTTAATGCCCATCAGCATCTGTCTCATCCCCACCCCCCACCTCCCTCCATCAACCCTCAATTTGTTCTTTGTTAAGAGTCTCTTATGGTTTATTTCCCTCTCTCCCTTACTTAACCCTTCCCATATGTTCATCTGTTTTCTTTCTTAAATTCCACATATGAATGAGATCATAAGCTATTTGTCTTCCTCTGATTTATGTCACTTAGCATAATATACTCTAGCTCCATCCGCATTTTCCCGAATGGCAAGATCTCATTCTTTTTTGATAACTGAGTAATATTCTATTATGTGTGTGTGTACACAACATTTTTTTAAAAAGATATTATTTATTCATAAGATACACACAGAGAGAAGCAGAGACATAGACAGAGGGAGAAACAGGCTCCCTACAGGGAGCCTGATGCAGGATTTGATCCCAGGACCCTGGGATCATGCCCTGAGCCGAAGGCAGACACAACAACTGAGCCACCCAGGTGCCCCCACAACATTTACTTTATCCATTCATTAGTTGATGGACATTTGGTCTCTCTCCATAGTCTGGCTTTTGTTGATAATGCTGCTATAAACATTGGGGTGTACCCCTTCATAACTGTATTTTTGGGTAAATACCTAATAGTGCAATTGCTGGGTCATAGGGTAGTTCTATTTTTAACTTTTTTGAGGAACCTCCATACTATTTCCCAGAATTGCTGCACCATTTGGATTGCAGTCCGCATTCCCACCAACAGTGTAGGAGAGTTCCCCTTTAGTTTTTGTTTGAAAACTCTTTGTCTCTCCTATTCTGAATGAGAGCCTTGCTGGATAAAGTATTCTTGGCTGCATATTTTTCCCATTCAGCATGCTGAGTATTTCTTTCCACTTCTTTCTGGCCTGTCAAGTTTCTGTGGACAGATCTGCTGCAAACCTGATCTGTCTTCCCTTACAGGTTAAGGACTTTTCCCCCTTGTTGCTTTCAGGATTCTTTCCTTGTCTGTGTATTTTGTGAATTTGATTTTGATATGTGTTGGCAATGGCCGGCTTTTCTTGAACTTAATGGAAGTTCTCTGTGCTTCTTGGATTTTGATATCTTTGTCCTTCCCCAGATTAGGGAAGCTTTCAGCTGTAATTTGCTCAAAGAAACTGTCTACTCATTTATCTCTCCATCTTTTGGGATTCCTATGATACAAATGTTATTATGTTTTAATAAGCCACTGAGTTCCATAAGTCTACCTTGGTGATTCATTACCTTTCTTTTTTTCAGCTTCATTATTTTCTATAATTTTATCTTCTAGATCACTGATTTGTTTCTCTGCTTCATCCATCCTCTTTTTATGGCATCCATTTGGGTTTGCATCTCAGTTATAGCATTTTAAATTTCAGCCTGACTAGATTTTAGTTGTGTGTTTTTTTTTAAATCTCTGCAGTAAGGGATTCTCTAGGGTCTTGTATGTTTTTTTTCAAGCCCATTTAGTTCCTCATAAATGTTTTAAATTCTAGTTCAGACATCTTGCTTATATCTGTATTGATTAAATCCCTGGCTGTATTATCAACAATAGCCAAACAATTAAAGAGACCAAATGTCCATCAACTGATGAATGGATAAAGATGTGGTATATATATATATATATATATAAAGGAATATTATTCAGCCATCAAAAAGAATGAAGTCTTGCCATTTGCATGGTGTGGATGGAGTTAGAGTGTATTAAGTGAAAGAAGTCAGTCAGAGAAAGACAAATATCACGTGCTTTCACTGATAGGTGGAATTTAAGAAACAATACAGATGAACATATGGGAGGAAGGAGAAAAAAAGAGAAAGAGAAAGAAACCATAAGAAACTCTTAAAGGGACCACAGGGTGGCTCAGTGGTTGAGTGTCTCCCTTCAGCTTAGGGCATGATTCTGGGGTCCCAGGATTGAGCTCCTCCCTGCAGGGAGCCTGCTTCTCTCTCTGCCTCTCTATGTCTCTCATGAATAAATAAAATATTTTTTAAAAAAGAAACTTAGAGAACTGAGGGTTGATGGAGGGATATGGGTGGCGGATGGGCTAAATTGGTGATAGGCATTAAGGAGGGCACTTGTCATGTTAAGCACTGGGTGTTGTATGTAAGTGATGAATCAATGAATTCTACTCCTGAAATCAATATTTCACTGTATGTTCACTAACTAGAATTTAAATAAAAATTTGAAGAAAAAAAAATCACTGGTCATTAGTTCTACTTCTAGTTCTTTCTTTTGCAGTGGACTCCTCTGTCTTATCATTTTGTGCAGTAAAAAAAGAAAAAAAAAACACAACTGGATCCTGGGTGTGTTTTGGTCTACTTGTTAAATGAAGCTAGATCTAAAAACAAAACAAAACAAAAACTATATATAAAATGCATATATGTAAATAAAAATTTAAAATAAAAGGAATTAAAAAATAAGAAAAATAAAAAGGAAGCTAGATCTTATTTCCTTTAGAGCTTAATTAAGCTTTGCGGCATCCTAGGAGTGTAGACTCGTGCTGGCCTTCAGCGGGAGGGGCCTGTTGGGCTCCTTACAGGTGGACAAGCTGGGCGGACACAGACACGACGGACCTGGACCCGAACGGGGCCAGACGGGCCAGGGGGCGGGGCTTGGTGTGCGCAGCGCGGGCCTCCACTAGGTGGCGCCATCTTGCTCCCTGAAGACTCCGCACTGAGGGGCGGGATGAACATGGGGCGCCCTGCTCTCTGGCCCTGGAGCTGCAAGGTCCTGCGCCCCCCTCTTCAGTGAGCAGTCACCCCTCTAGTGTTCCCAGCTTCCATCAGATCCCTGCCTTCACCCTGCCTGTGTCTGAGCTGTTTTATCCCGGGTGTCCCTGGGTCTAAGGACTCCACGGATTTCAGGGGTGCCTCTGGTGTGGACCCCCGCTGTACCTCGCGGGGAGCATCTCACTGTGCTCTTGCTGTGTGGCTGGCCAGTGCCAGGAAGCATGGCACGCTGCACAGCGGTCCAGGTTATGGCAAGGTGCAGCAGAGAGCTGGCACCCAGGCCGGCCGCCGGCAGACGGAGTCCCGGCTCCTATGCCCGGAAGCTGACGCACGTGGATGCCACCCGTTCTCCTTGCAGCCCGGGGGGCCTCCGCGCACCCTGGCCACTCCTGCGTCCATCGGCTCCTGCCCGCGGAGCGCGTCAGCCAGGCATGACCCTGGGGGTGGCGGACTGCTACACCTTCGGATCTTGCACTTCGGGGTGCGCCACCTTGTAGTCTCCGTCAGCAGGGCTCCTTCCTCCCGCAGTACCCACAGTTGCATTGCCCTCAGATCCACTCTCTGCACCTCCTACCCGTGTCCTCTCAGTCCTCAGATTGGTTTCTTGGGTGTTTAGGAAGGTTTGGGAATTATCTGTCTGTGCCCGAGGAACAAGTCCCCCTACTCTCCCGCCATCTTAACTCCTCTCTCATGCTTGATAGAATAATCTAATCTTTAAGTGTTTTGTCAACAGATATTTGATGCTCTGTACTGAATAACACTGCACTTCTAGATATTTAAAATATTATACTTTTAAATGTCCATGAAAGTTTGTTATCAGCAAACATTCTCTGAGATAAAAATAAATGATTAGGTGGTGGTAAATACACTAAAAATGTCCTAGAAGTTGGGATTAGACTCCAGCCGACCTTGAGCACACGTCCTGCGTGGCCCTGCTGTGGACCACTTATTTCCTCATCTGTTATATGGGTACAATGCCTCCCTCGGTGATGCACAAGAATTACTGAAGTCCTCTGAAATCATTAAACGCTGAGGAAATGCCAAATTTGTTTATAGTGAAGGAAAAAAGCTAAATATGAGAACAATTGACTAAAAATGCAAAATAAAAATAAGTGTTTGGATCTATAACCAAACAAAGATAAGAATTTAGTGAGAAATTTATAAAAAACAGAATGGAAGAAATGGTGATGGGATGCATTCCGATCTCCCTGCTGCCCTGCTTAGGATAGTCAATGTAAGTTTTCATTCTTCATACAACAGTCACACTAAATATTTATAGCATAATAAAAAAGAGGTTGCTGGGGTCAGAAAGACTCCTTGTGGTTCTATTAACTCTTGCTACACTAAAATACTACATTATCCTACAATTCTGTGGTTCAAAGGCTAAAATTTTCCCAAAATACCCAGCTTTAAGATTAGGTCTTGATAGAGATCTGGAATACAGTAAGTATGCTTAAAATAACTTGTAAATTCAAATTAGTGAAGAACAAACGTTCTATGACTATGAACTAACTTGTTAATGATGAAACTCATTAAAACAAATTAACTTTGAGAGTTAAGTGCCAAGGTAGTGAGTAAAGCTTGAGGTTCCCAGGCTACGAATTTAGGCCTGCTTTGACTCTTTTTGCTGGATTTTTCCAGCAAACCTTCAAGTGCCTGCTCTGAAGGAAGCACAATGTTGCACACATGGGGAACCATTGTAGTGTGGCCGCTAGTTTAAAACACAATGCAAAGTTCTAGCAGTGGAAGCATCCCTGACTGCCAGGAGATTCCAATAGATTAGGCAGACATAGTATGTACAGAAAACCTATGATGCAGATTGATTGCATATTATCTATAACATCATCAACCTTACTGTGGTCAAATTTCATGAATAAAGATTATTAATAAAACATTTTACTTAAAGATTCTTACACAAATTCTTTGGAGATATTCAAGCCTAGTCTTTTTTCTTTTATGATTTCAATTCATAAATCAGCTTAAAATTCCAATTTGCTCTCATTCTTCCTGCATTGGGCTCCTCCTAGCAGAGTGTCCAGTCATTCCTCAGCTCTTTCCAGCCAGTAGAATGGGAGCATTCCTTTTGTATGAGTTTTGTACTTGAGACTATCATTCAGTAAATAAAACTGTTTAATGAGGGTGTTTAGCCTTCTCTCTCTCTCTCTCTCTCTCTCTCACACACACACACACACACACACACACACACACACACACACTCTCTCTCTCTCTCTTTAATTAATGGAAAAGAAAATGTAAAAGTGTTTGAGGTCATATAGGCGGAAGAAACTAGAAACATGAAGCCTAGGATCTTAGGCTCCAGCTCAGCCTAGTATGGGGTTTGCTTATCTGATCTTCGGGCTGCAAACCTGGGGGCGGAGTTCAAATTCCTCTTTGCATATGGGGCATGGCTGCATAGAGTCCCCCTGCAGGATGGATCTCTGTTTCACTTTTTCCCATTCATCTGAGGATAGTAGTGGTGGTGGAGGTTCAAACAGGCCCAGCTTCTGTGCTAAAGTTAAAACAATATGAAATAGAAGTTGCAATATATTCAGAATGTAGCACTCATCTATTGTTTAAACATTATTCTGTAAAAAAATTTGAAAGCAAAACATACTGCATACTTCTGCCATCTATGGAAAACTTCTTCCATGGTACATAGAAATCAATGATACCTTCCATTCTTGTTTTATGCGCTTATTTAGGAAGAATTCCCTACCCCTATTTCATGTTCATAGTATTCTCTACAGTAGGTAGGACTGCTATCCAATTTTCAGGAAGAGAATTTGAAGAATACTAGGTTTTCACACGTATTGGCCAAAGCGTCTCACTTGTCACTCAATTTATCTTTCAGCCTTCAGTGTTGTCTTCTTCCAGCCCCCCCCTTTTTTTTTGCACCACCAGTGACCTTCACAGAATGAGTATCAATCAAGTTCTTCCCTTGCTAAAAATTCTTACGACATAATTATTGTCAGGATTGATTCCTCACCTCAGTAATATTTGAGAGCCCACCATGTGTCCCCTCTAGATCAAGAAAGGAGCGCACATTCCAGTGGGAGCTGCTGCAGCTGGAGAGCAGTGCTGGCGGGGGAGCCCTGGTGTCATGTCACCCCCCATCCAACAAATGAAGGAATGGGTAAAGCACCACCCTGTGGGCTCTCTTCAGATAGAAAGTGAAGTGTTACATCTACAAAATAAGAACAGGAAGCTGTACCAGGAATAATCAGAGTACAAAAAAGAACTCTTAAAAATAAAAAATCTTTTGTAGAAATGTGAAAGTCAACCCAAAGACTGGAAGAGGAAGGTTGAGGTAATCTCAAAGGAAGTAGAGGAGATAAAGCAGGAGACAGAAGATAAGAAGATTAAAGGACCAGTCTAGGAGGTCTGACATCTGAAAGACAGACATCCCATAGAGAAAACAAAATTGAGAGTAAAGATCTTCAAATAGTCTAAATTATTTTCCAGAAGAGGACACGAGATTCTAGTTTGAGAGGCCCCAGGAAAGCCCAGAACGAAGGATTCACACCAAATCCTGCCCTGTGATACTTCACAGCTGTAGGCACAAAAAGCAGATCTGAGTCTGGGGGGAGGAGGAGAGAGAGAGAGAGAGAGAGAGAGAGGGAGAGAAAGAGAAAGAACAAGTGTCAAAAAGGGTCAGGAACATAACTCTGGGAAATGAACAAGGGATAATGGAAGGAGACGTGGGTGGGGGGTTGGGGTGACTGGGTGATGGGCACTGAGGGCGGCACTTGGTGGGATGAGCACTGGGTGTTATGCTATATGTTGGCAAATTGAACACCAATAAAAAAATTAAAAAAACAAAAACAGAAACAAAAAGGGTCAGGAGTCAGAATTACATCAGACTTACCTCCAGCAACACAGACATGAGAAGGCAAGTCTTTTAAAATTCTGAGAAAGACTCCCATATTGAAATTCTTTATTAGCTATCAATGGACTGTGAGAGAATAAAGGGATCCTTGTGTTTATAAGCTTGTACACTAGTCTCTTAGGTGCTCTTTCCCAGGAAGCTGCTGGAGGAGCAGCTTCACCCCAATGAGGGTATAAACTGAGAAGGAGAAGCCATGCGATCAGGGAGAGAGTATCTGATGCAAGAGAACCAAAGGGAATCAGCCTGCAGGGTGATGCTGAGAAGACATCCCAGGCTGACGGCTCTGTACCAGCCCCACAGAGCAACTGGTCCAGATGAAGCAGAGTGATGGAAGGTTCTAGAAGGAATGTCTCCACAAAGATAAAATCAAAAGATCACCCACTGTATTTTAATGTAAGGAAAGACTATACTTTTGGGGAATGAATTTTGAGTCTTTTCCTGCCAGTTTTAAGACATATTACAAAACTTGGCAAAAGCAAAAGGTAAGTGTTGCTGGTCAACAAAGAAGGGCTAGATAATGGTTTGAGGGAAGAATCTAATGTAAATTTTTATACCAATTGATTTTGCCAGTACTGTACGCAAAGTAAACTGTGACGGGGTTGAAATGTGAAAGGTAAAACACCTAAGATAAAGAAAATGTGGGAAAATCTTTGTGATCTCAGAATGGGTAAGGATTTCTTAAATCACCCAAGCATAAACAATAAAGAGAAACTGATGGATTTAACAGTAATCAGAATGAAGATTTTATTCAATATAAAATAACAGAAAATTAAAAGACGGTGCCAGAGTGAGATCTTCTCATCAACAAGGGGTTAATATGTAGAGTACATAAGGAACTCCAGAAAATCAGCAAGAAAAGATCAGAGTGCAATTTGAATAGTATGGAAAATAATGAAGAGCATATAGTTCAACACTTACTGGTGACCAATACACAGAATAGTCAAAAATTTTTTTTCATAAAGAACTCCTGGAAGATAGCTCATTTATTCTCCTTTTTAACCTGACTTATTTTCCAAATTGGGAAGCCCTTCCTGATGTCTAATGTAAACCTTCCCTCCTAAAATGACTTGATCATCTCCCACAAATTCTATATATATATATGCACAAGATATTCACTACATGGCTGTATAACAACACTCCATGCCTCTGCCTGTTCTTGAGCTATTGCCATTTCCTAGAACACCACCAGCACTGTCTGCGGGTCCTTGGGAAGTAATGAGTGTCCACTGGCCTTGCCGTACCAGCAGGTTCCCTGCAGGCTTCCAGCGTGGCCTCCATCCATCACACTTGCTCGAGGGCACATCACCCCCAGACAAACCTAATTTCCATACCCAGCATCATTTAAAAATCTTTCCTATTTCTAAATTTACAGTTTAAAATAATTTGAGACTTGCAAAAGGTTGTGAAACCCAGGATAAAAAATCTTCATGTGCCTTTTACCCAGTTTCCCCAGATGTTAATATTTTACATAGCCTCAGTGATCAAAATGGGGAAATTAATGTTGATCCAACACTGCCACTTAATCTGTATTCCTTACTCGATTTCGTTCTCATCTCAAGTTCTATTTCTGGATCCAGATTACACACGGCACTCAGTGGTCATGTCCCCTTTGCCTCTCATATCTAGGATGGTTTCTCAATCTTAATTTGTTTTTCTTGACTTGACACTTTTTGAAGAGTACTGGTCAGGAACCATGTAGAACATCTGTCAGTTTAGGTGGGTCTGGTGTTTCCTCTTAAATTCAGATGTGCATTTTGGCAAGATTTACACAGAGGAGATGCTGCATGGGATCGGGGGCATGTTGGCGTGTATCCCTTTGGTGATGGCACTTACATCACTTGGTCAGGATGCTGCCAGCACAATGTCACCAAGATGAGGCTGCAGCATGGTGGGTGGGCACACCGTGAAGCTGTGTCCACATTCTGTGTCTCAGCACCGTTCCTCAGGGTCTCAGCATCCAGTGATGCCTATTCTTACTGTGCTGTTGGCCGCATGGTGATTTTTCTATTTCTGGCCCCTGTCTATATATTTATGAGTTGTCATTCTACTGCAAGAAAGAGCTTTTTCTTTTCCATTATTGACTAATTTCTACCAGTGTGGATTAGTGAATATTGATTGTATTCTACTGCTTTTATTTATTCTATATAGTACTGTCTTTTTTTCCTTGTTCATATTGTCTCCATCAGCATTTTAAAACTGTAGTACATACATTCTTTCTGAAAGATTAAAAATTAGAATAGTTTCTGTTCCAGAAAAATTCATATTAATCTCATTTAGACTCCTCAGTTCTAATAAGCCAAAATATAAATGACAAGACTAACTTACCTAAAGTTAATGGTGGTGGTTTTGGATCAAGAACATATTCTTTTTCTGGATCTTCCACTTTAGGGTCTTGTAGAGTTGTTTTAAGTCCAGTATCTATTATTGCTTTTGTATTTCCTTTTAGAGATTTGGGTCTGCTCTCTCTCTTTTGTGCCTTTGTCTTAGAATGATCTGCTGTTGAAAGATTTCGAAGTTGAAGATCATGTAAAATGTGATCTTGTAAAGCAACTGCAGTGACTGCTAAGTTACCTCGTTTAGATGAATGACCCTAAAAAGTAGGGGGGAAGAAGCCTTATATTTAGAACATTACATAATATCATCTGGAAGAAAACAGGCTTTAATACTTAATTTGGGGGGGGGGATACTAGACCAAATCTAATAGTGAAGAATGCTTGGCCCACGTTACCTAACTGCAGGAAAGCCCAGTCTCATCATTTATGTTGGTGACAGAGTAAATATCTTTTCATTTAATTACTAAGGTCTTAAATATAATATGAATTAATTTATTATGACCTATAAAAGCTGTGCATGCCTGACTACATTCTGTTTCACTATAATTAGACTCTAGGCAAATCTTGCTTCTGTAATATGAACGGAATCTTGCATTTAAGTACATGCTTTTTTGATGGAAACTTACACAGAATAAAACTGCTGGCACCTATGACATGCTTGCGGTTGGTGCTATGGCAGATAGTTCCTCATGGGAGCGAGGTTTGTAACTATATTCTTATATTTTCAAACATCTGAATTAAAATATATTCATGGGTAAAACTTTTTTTTAAAGATTTTATTTATTCATGAGAGACACACAGAGAGAGGCAGAGACACGCACAGAGGGAGAAGCAGGCTCCCTGTGGGAAGCTCAGGATCACGCCCTGAGCAGAAGGCAAATGCTTGATCACTGAGCCACCCAGGTGTCCCTAAAATAGTGCTTTAAAACAGGATTCTGTACCTTATTTTTTGACATGCTGAGTCAGAAAAACTTGCTGCTTGGCGATATCAAGTTATATCATCATATCACATTCCTTTAATTCTTCCACTGTAAAAACATGATCAACAGAAAGCCAAAGTTGGTGTGTATGTAAACATCTCTTACAAAGTCTATGGGAAGATAGGTTTGAGCGTCTGGTTGATATGGGAGTGCCTATGCGAGCACAGCATTAGGCTATGCACTGTGATTCTGCTGGGATTCCAGCCAGTCATGACTGAGCCCTGGCCTCCAATCTCCAGCTGGAGGGAGCATATGAATATGAATGAGTACAGTCCACTGCCCACTACAATACTGTACATAAGTACAACAAAATTTCAGACTGAAAAGATCAGAGAATAGTAAGTGAAATACCTCTTTTTTTTTTTTCTAAGATTTTATTTGAGTGAGCGAGAACATGCAGAGAGAGAGAGGAAGCAGCAGACGCCCCACCGAGCAAGAAGTTCCATCCCAGGACCCTGGGATCATGACTGAGCTGAAGGCAGACACTTCACCTACTGAGCCACCCAGGTGCCCCAGTAAGTGAAATGCCTCCTAAAGAGAGAACATTTAAACTGAGATTTTCAGGACAGACAAGAAGGAAGTGAACACACTACACTACAGTACAAGGGGAGCAAAGGCACTCAGGGACTGGGCAGGTGGTTATAATTTAGGAGCGAAAGGGAACAATGAATATACTGGATGCAAGGGGAGCAAGGCTGCCTTCAGCCTGTCCCCATCGCAGAGCTGCAGAGTATGGGGAGCACACCTGGCCTCCCATCTGGGTCCAGTTGTCTTCTGTTCCAGGTACCTCACCTTAAACAGGTATAGTAACACACGGCTTACAAGGTTACCTTTAGGATTATGTGAGCCCCCCCTTTGTAAAGAATCTGAATTGGACCCTTTCATGCAGAAGGTACTCTGTAAATGGATATTTTGCTCCAATTCCCTGTGAAACTGGTGGGAGAATCTGAATTGGTCTTTTTAGTTTTTTAGGCAAGGGTGTAGTTTCTGAAGACAAGGGCCCAAAATAAACAGAATGGGGAGAAACAGTGATTAAGGTAATGTAGGAATGGGCCTAATTTTAAGGCTTGAAAGGAATGAATCCAAACTATGCATCTAAGGACCAACACCTGCTACACCTCAGTTCGCAGCGTAGCAGTGAGGACCGTGGAAACAGCTGTGAGGTCTCCAGGGCTGGACAGCTGCTAAGAGGTCCGGGAACCAGGTGGTGGTGCGGCCTGCACGCTCGGGCTCCCCTTCGGTGCTGGTCTCAGGACACACGACAGAGCTTCTGTGCAGTGCTTCCTCAGGTCAGGTCATCGGGCAGTGTGGACCACAGCAGCGGGTGGTTGGGGTGGTGTGGACCGCAGCAGCGGGTCGTGGGGCGGTGTGGACCACAGCAGCGGGAGAAGGCATGCAGTGCTGTGGATGCCTCCCAGAACCTTGTCGGCGCGGAGCCTACACCGCACTGATCCCTGCAGCTGCAGGTGTGGACAGGTGCCTGTGCTGGGAGCCCCCTCCGTGTCCGGGTTAGAACTGCAGGGAGGTCTGCCCGTCTCCATCCCGCGGTCCCTGCATCTCAGGACCGGGAGCCCCTCGGGTCAGGGGAGGCCCACACCCGCAGGGCAGGAAGAGCCAGAGTCGGCGGGCGCACTCATGCTCGGTTCCGTCCAGCGGACAGGCCCCGCCCGGCGGCCGCCTGCTAACGCAGAGCCGTGCGGACCCCGGACAGCGGGACACGCCGCGCGAGCGGGCACTGCGGCCCCGGCCCCCGGTCGCTGGGCCCCCCTACCTGCGGCCTCCGCTCCCCCTCGGTGACGGGCGGCGTCGCCCTCCCCGCAGCGGTCACGAGGGCGCTGAGTGCGGGGGACCCGGGCCTGGGCTGCCCCGCAGGCTCCCCGCCGCGCCTCCCGCGCGCCACCACCTCCAGCGCCGCGCCGCTCGCCGTTGCCCAGCAACCCGGCGCGCATGCCCAACGGTCCCGCCCCGCGCACCGCGCCGAGCTCGAGGGCCGGCGGCGACCCAGCCGCACTGCGCATGCTCGCCGGCTCTGTCCTGCGCACACGGCCGGCCGGTCCGCGGCCCGCTCGGCTTCCGGCCCCGCCCCGCGCAGGCCGCAGTGCGCACGCTCGCGGAGGGCGCTGCGGGGCTCGGCGGGCGTCCCGCGGCCTGGCGGGGTCTCAGCCGCGTTTGCCCAGAAGTGTCTGCCCTGCGTCCAGTGACATGGGTGTCGGTTCTTGATACGCCGACGACCTGCGCGTTCTTGCCGTCTCCCCGTGGCTTGGGAAGCTGTCGGGGCGCCGCCGTGCGGGTGCGGTGTCTTACGGGGCGGTCAGAACTCGGGGGTGACCCGGGGACCCCGACCCGCTGCGCCAGCCCCCGGCACGCCTGCAGCCCCAGAACTCGGGGGTCACCGGGGGTCCCCACCTGGCCTCCCCCCGACCCGCTGCGCCGGCCCCCGGCACGCCTGCAGCCCCAGAACTCGGGGGTCACCGGGGGTCCCCACCTGGCCTCCCCCCGACCCGCTGCGCCAGCGCCCGGCACGCCTGCAGCCCCAGGACTTGGGGGTCACCGGGGGTCCCCACCTGGCCTCCCCCCGACCTGCTGCGCCAGCCCCCGGCACGCCTGCAGCCCCAGAACTTGGGGGTGACCGGGGGTCCCCACCTGGCCTCCCCCCGACCCGCTGCGCCGGCCCCCGGCACGCCTGCAGCCCCAGGACTTGGGGGTCACCGGGGGTCCCCACCTGGTCTCCCCCGACCCGCTGGGCCAGCCTCCTGCACATTCAATTTTCTGTCCACAGATAATTTAGACTCTTGGCCCTGGGCTGGAAACTCGCCCAGCTCACTTGGTTCCCCTTTTCTCGAGGATACCATTCAGGTGCCCAGAACCATTGCGTCATATGTTGTGTCTGATCTTTTACTTGTTGGAGGTAAGAGCTTAAATCTGGTCCTTAAACCCCCATCATGGCCAGAAGCAGAAATGAGTAGAAGTTCATCTTTTTTTTTTTTTTTTTTAATGACAGTGACTCAGTTGTGTTATTTAAACTCATGATTGGACTTTTATTGAAATAAAGTTCAGCTGAAAGTGAAAAAAAAATACACAATGTGAATAGTATCCTGCCCCCCCCTTTTTTTACTTCTCTGAAAACGGATCTAAAGAGGTTACCAAGTTGATTAGAAATTGGTCATTGATCATGAAAAGACCTAAAAGAAAATGTTCGTCATGACTTTGGAATAAATAGTATTCTGTGAAACAAGATGATCTGAAGTTCCACTTCAGATAACTGTTTTTTTTTTGTTTTTTGTTTTTTTTTTTTTAGTGGAATTAAGTTTTCTAAGCTGGCCACTCCTGTTTGGAAGTTTTTAAAATAGACTAAAGCTAACATATTTGATAAGCCAAATTAAATTCATAATTAAGTTAATTTTAAGTGATTTAATCTTCCACGTAGTTTAAACTTTTCCAACAGATACTGTAATTTTGATAAATGTTTTGGTGGTATTGGATCTAGAACATTAGATAGGGGTCTCTCTGCAGTCCTGAGAGTTTTTCATTCATGACTGTTAGGACTGGGAGGGAAAGCTTTAGGTTTAGGTAGGTAGACCTGAGTTCAAATCTAGACTGACTTTATAGGTGTCTGAATTTGGCAAGTTACTTCATTTTCTGAAACTCGGGGTCTCTTATACATGCAGGGGGCATTTGCTACCACTCCTCTCAGTATCTGCCAGCACTTCAGCACTAGCCCTGGGGATTCATTGGTCCTTGGGTGGAACATATGCCTGAGCTAGTCGGAAAATCGGTGTCCTGGCCACAGTGACGTAGCTGGGGTGGGCATATGACTGAGCTAGGCCAGTCGGGTTGACTCAGTATTTTTGTGGGAGCTACTGGAAAACTTTTTTTTAAATTTTATTTATTCGTGAGTGACAGACACATGCAGAGGGAGAGAGAGGCAGAGACACAGGCAGAGGGAGAAGCAGGCTCCATGCAGGAAACCCGATGTGGGACTTGATACCAGGACTCCAGGATCATGCCCTGGGCCTAAGGCAGGCGGTCAACCGCTGAGCCACCCAGGAATCCCTGGAAAATTCTTTTAATTCTTCCTACTGATGTAGAAATAAGAGAAGATGTGAAACTGCAGCTGTGCCAGCTCTCCAGTCATCACAAGGTGGGAGCTGGTGCTGTGGGCCCTCCCGTGAGCCTTACAAGAGGGTCACACAGGAAACCAAGCAGAGTGGGCCAGAGTCCAAGCCTGAGCGACATAGCTGGAGCCTGGAGCCAGCCCTACTCAGTGTTGCTACTTACCTGAGTGAACAGATTTCCTTTATGCTTCAGCCAGTTTGGGTCTGGTTTTCTCTGTTCCTTGTAACAGGAATGAGGTGAATGATATAAATGGGTGTAGTTATCCGTCTATTCCTGTGGTTAGATTGAAAAACGTCCTACGTGTACAAAGGCCTTAGGACAGTGCCTACCACTCTTCATTACCATTTGAAGGAATCCTTCTTGAACTCTGTTAAGTTCTAGGAAAAATCCCCATTCAACATTTTCCCTCTCCCTCCCTGTGTTCAAAATCTCACAGCAGTTTTACTACCTGCATGGTTTCTACCAAAAAAAAAATGATCTTTCTTGTTCTCTACACATAATTATTTGTCTTCAGGCTTTCATTTGGAAATTTAACCTTATAATTATTGCTTTGTAATTCTTGACAAAAGTATAGCTGACATGGCTGACATTTGAAGAGGATGCGGTGGGGAGCACTTTCCTTGTCCTCCTCCAGGCAAGCATGTTCTGTTCTTGGTCTCACTCCCAAAAGGTTCTCTCAGCGGTTTATATTTTCATGTTATGGCATTAGCTTTTTTGTTGGTCTAAAGATGGGCCCAAGATCCTGTACATAGGGCAAGTGTGCTTGCATCTTCTAGAAATCTTGTGGAGTACCTTCTCAGTGGTGCTGTTCAGCACACTTTGCAAGAGCACTCCTGTGACTCATTTATTTTGGAGTTTCAGCACATGAATTGAATCTCCTGGGAATGGTCTGAAGAGAAAGGGCTGACAAAGATGAGAGACAGGTAGGGGTGTATGTGGATGACCAGAAGTGTTTGGTTGCTCTGCTTGGTCACACAGGGTAGGGTGTGAGTGTGCCGGGAGTAAACAAGCCATGCACCTGGGCCCTGCCAGGCCTACACAGGAAGCCGTCGTGTGTGGTACCTCATTAAAGAGATGCATGAATCAACATTTTGGTGAGAAAGATGAGGATGCTGTGTGTCTCCAGGAGGGGGTTCAAGGCTGGGAGGGCCTGGCTATTTGAGTGGGAAACATTGATATGGAGGGGAATCTTACACTGTATCTTGTCTGTGCAGGAGGCAATGCAGAGAAAGCGTCCACATTCTAGAAAGGCAGCTGGTTTGCTGGTTGGGGATGAGGTTTTCGCAGCACGACCCTAGAGACAAGTCACGGGTAGCAATGTTGGGAATGTCTGGATCTTTAGTACATCCTACCCCCACAGGGTCTGTGTTTGCCCATCTGCAGAGTCTCCACTAGACACCTGAGTGGGTCAGAATGGTTCTACTGGTTCAGTGTCTTCCTCCTCTCCTATTTAATATCTCAGGGCTCTCCCACTTCTCTTTTGTAATCCATAAAATAACTCTTAATCCTGTCAGTTCATATTCCCTTCCTGCCTCTCCTAACACAATCCTTGATGCTGGAAATAAATATAAGGAGCAGACGTCAGTGGCACAGAGTCCTTCTCCTTCCTTAATATAGCTTTCAAGCTTAATCCTCACTGAAATCATGTTTCCTTCGACTTATTCCTCTTAATCTTTTGTATTGCCTTTAATTTTCTGCTAACACTTCTAGATTTATTACTGATATCTATTCTTAAACATCTTTCCACCCTAGTACTTCTTTTTTTTCCCTCAAATAACTCAAAGTTCTATTCTGTATTTTGTGAGACATGAGGTCCAGCAGTTTTGGGGAGAGTCTGCTGTCTGTTCTTGTCCCACAGCAGTGGTCACTGTAGAGACTTAGGTACACTGGTAGGAGTTCCTAAAATATTTTCTTTCTTAGAGATCATACTAGATTTTGTTTCATTTTAAATAAAGAAATGAAAAAGAGCTTAGGACAAATTGTTTTAATTCCTCTGGCAAAATGCAGACAAATGTGGGTTTTTGTTTCTGTTTTTGTTTTTGATCTGTGACAAGAGGTAAGATGATTACATCATTCTTGTTCACATTATAATAGTGGTAAAGTAACTGATGAAAATATCGTGCAGTGGAGAAATGGGGAGGAATCATCTTATTTCAGTTCTTTGTCTATAAAGTCATGGGTATAACAAAAGAGCTCTGTTAAAAACTTGTTTTCTGTATAGAAATTGGACCAAATTAATTCTTTGTTTTTGAATCCAATATATTTAGAAGCAGTTTATCAGTTTGGTAAAGAACAGTGTCCTATTAATGATCTAAAAACTGACATGATAAAGATATTCATGCTAAAAATGCTGTGATCACCATGTACCAGACATTTTAAAAAAATCTTGTCAAAAGCAATTAGTACATATTCATTGTATCAAAGGAGTTTGATTGGGTAATGTGAACCCATCTCAGGCATTTGTGATTTTTCTGCCCTAACTGAAAGTTTTGAGAAATGTGTAAAAGCATTACAAATACCAGCTTACTAGTACAGCCTCTACAGTAACCTGAGAAATCAGAGCATGCTGGTACTGTAGCACGGTTTCTGTAAACTTGAATTGGTTTACGCTGTGATATGTTTAATACAGAGG